TTCAAAGTTACAAACGCTCTTTCTAGCGCAGTATCTTAAATGGTGTAATTGTAGATCTATCTTCATTGATATTGCTATGGCCACCCATGAAAACCTTCAGCAAGATGTAATGCAACCTTTCAACATCATTTAGCCTTTAAGATTCGAAATCATGCTGGAAATTAACTTTCCAGGCTTTCCTCAGGCATGATGCCCAAAATTGGTCTGACTCTGATATACAATGTTCTGTGCAACCAATGCATCATTGCCTGGAAATGATGCTCTGCAGTATTTACTGGGTAATAAAATAATCATGGATATTAATCTTCATATAGAGGGGGCAAACCAAGTTTGTCACAATTGCATGGAGGGCAAGGATCTCCTTTTTTTAAATTCTCAACACTCCTTTTAGATGATGTAAGCAAAATACTGCAGATGCTGGAAATCTGAAACCAACACAGAATCCTGGAGAAACTCTGGTCTGGCGGTGAGAGAGAGAAAAATAAATTAAAATTTTCAAGTACAGTGTGACTGTTCTTCAGAACTGACACCTGTAGCAGTAACGTGTCTTTATTTGGGGTACTTTGGATCAGACAAGCAGCATTGTCAGAATTCATCCATATCTCAAAAGTCATCATTGCTCCTGTTACGAAGGGTGGGGGGAGGCCGAACCCCTCTAATAATTAAACCGAAACACAAGCCCCAAACTTTTATGGTTGGAATAGAGGTTTGCTTCTCATAATTAGCCACGGAGCAGCCACAGAAGCTCATCTTGCCCCTTGTGATCTGTTAAAAGAGTGGTTAAAAGAAAGAAAGTCCCTGATCCACTTTAAGTAACAAGTAACAATTTATTTATTTATTTATTTAACCCCAATTATGGACAAATTAACAGAATTACTAATGAACCAAACAATTTCCTCCCCCCACCCCAAACCCCACATGTACTAACAATTCCCTAACTGAACTAAATTCTACTGGAATGCTGTTCAAATAAACACAAATCTCACTTATGTAAACCCAATTAATGAGACAACAGTAAATTAAAACTTAACCTCTCCAACTTGGCAAAGAATGTGGCATCTGGAATACTCTGCCTTCTGTTGATCTCACGTCACAATTGCCTTTCTTCTGCCGATCCTGCTTCAGGGATGTTTTCTCTGTAATTTCTTCTGTGAGGACTTGAGCTAAAAACACTGTGGTGGTAACTTTTATGGATAGGATGGTGCTTTCTTAGAGCTTAGTGATTTCTTGAGAGATAGGCGCTTATTTCTCAGATGGCGGTTTGGTCTCCGATTTTCAAAAACCCTCTCCTTGGATGATATATCAATATTCTTACAATAGCATTGGTCCAAGGTTGTCAAAACCATCAGATTTAAATTCAATTAGCTTTCAATCGCTAAGTGTTTGGTTTAAATTAATTGGCTGATTCCAGCTCATTGCGAAAACATCAAAACAAGCTCAAAGTTCACAATCACACAGCCAACCGATACAGGTTTCCATTTTAGAACTGGCTGTACAGCTTGAGCTCCATACACACATTTCTTTTTCTGTAAAGAATCTCTAAGCTTAGAAAAACATTTCGTCTCTTAAAAGATCCTCACACTCTACACAACTTTGTAACACTATTGAACTTGATGCCACAATATACAAAGAAAGCAGTAATTTCCTAGATACCGCTGTATTTAAATATGCAAGAAGAATAACAGGCAAAAGGTAGCAACAAAAGTTTAAGAAAAACTAACACATTTTACACAAAAAGCCATCACTCAAAACGATTTTCATTAAATGTTAAGGTCACAGTCGATGGTTACAAGTTTGTCTCTCGCACAATCATTGACAATTTGAAATAAATGCTATTCCTAAGGATTTACATACTTGTCTACTAGCTGTGTATATTGAGGGCTAGACCCCTCTCTTAATTATATTACACATCTGAATATCCTCTCTGGAGTGTCCAAAGATTTAACCTTTGAGAAATTTGTTTGTTATAATAGCCATTCCGAGACCATGACTAGCCAGGAAAATATTTTCTCAGCACTTATCTAACAAATTCTTAAGAATGACATGTATCAATTAGATTGAAGGTCTGTTATGTGCCACCATTTTGTCAAAAAGCTCTGGTGTCACCATGATAAAAACAAAACCCAGTCTTTACAAGGAGAGCATTTTTACATTTACAGTTTAGTATTATATCAACCACGAATGAAAATCTTCAAGGATTTTGAAAATTGCAATAATATTGCTGAAAATAAATTTTATTTCTAAATTGTGGAAAAAACCCACAAAATTAGACAATTACTTAGCCTTTAGTGAGGAGCCTGGTCCCACTGTTCAGAAACACTGCATTAGATCACCCCTCATTCTTCTAAGTTTCAGGGAAGCAAGGCCGTGTCAACTTAATCTCTCCTAATAAGTCAGCTCCCTCACCCTAGGAACCAGTTGAGCTTCCAGTGACTGTTGGTCAGTCCTCAGCTCTGGAGCCACATGCAACACTTTAAGGACTTGCTGCAACACCAGATCTTGATTGATTGACCCCATTGTGATGGTGATTTCATGGCTTGTTGTTTTGTGTTTTTAAACTTTCATTAATCGTGAATCACTTTCTCACCTTTTGCAAGAAGTCCTAAATAATATTCATTTGTCTTGTTTCATATTATCATTGGAATTTAAGCAACAGAATTGCTGCTCTAAAGATTGTGTTATTGGCTAATTTTAAAACTCGCTCTTTGTTTTAGAGAGGTTGAATCCCTTTATCTTCTTCCTTTAGTAAGGAGTCCAAAATTGCACACTGGCTGTATAAAGCATTTTTTAAAAAACTGACTGCCATTTTTTTTTTGGGCAGCCAGTTTTAAGGTGACTAGGCTGTTGTTGCTTGATTTTGCAAATTTATGAAGGCTAAACATTTGCAATTTTGCAGTACTCTGGAGCCACCCTGTATTGAAGAAGGAATGGAAATTTAGTTAGTGTCTTTGCAATTTTCCCCTTGCTTCCTTAGTTTGTCCTGTTAGGTTAGTTTGTCCCAGTTTGTCCCGTTAGCTTACAGCCAGCTTTTCTAATACCGTCTCTTTTTCCGTTTTTAGCCATGGGGTGGCACAGTGGCTCATTGGTTAGCACTGCTGCGTCACAGCACCAGGGACCCGGGTTCGATTCCACCCTTGGGCGACTGTCTGTGTGGAGTTTGCATATTCTCCCTACGTCTGCGTGGGTTTTCTCCCATAGTCCAAAGCTGTGCAGGCTAGGTGGATTGGCCTTGTTAAATTGCCCGTAGTGTTCAGGAGTGTGTAGATGAGGTGGGTTATAGGGGGATGGGTCTGGGTGGGATGCTCTGAGGGTCAGTGTGGACTTGTTGGGCCAAAGGGCCTGTTTCCACACAGTAGGGATTCTCTGATTCAATCATTTCAGCTATGTCCATGCAGAATGACTTTGGTAACATCTTTGGTGAGAATGAGTGCAGAGTAATAATTTGATATCTCAGCCGTGCCCTCTGTTCCATACATTTTTCATAACTAATTGGCCCTGCTTCTCTTAATTTTTTTTTCCAGTTTATGTACCTATTGAAGACTTTTGGATTTCCTTTAATGTTAGTTGTCAATTTAGTCTCATCCACTTTCATACCTCATTTGTGTTTACCCTTCTGTTTTAACTAGGTTTATTCTGTTGATTTTCCATTTGTATTATCAACATAACACCTGTTATATAAAAGCAAATGTGGGAGAAAATCAGCAAGTCTGGCAGCATCTGTGGAGCAAAAGAGTTAATGTTTGCAGTTTCTTCAGCACATTTGTTTTTATTAACATCTGTCCTATGTCACCTTTTCCTGCTCAAATTTGCTATTTCTTTCATCATTAGTGAACTCATTGTAATTACCCTACCTTTCTTGCTCATAGGACGATTCCAAGACTGTTTATAAATCATCAGCTCTTTAAAGGCATTGTTAGTTACTTTCCCCTGCCAATCTTTGATTCCAGTTTACCCTACACAGATGCTCTCAAACATAAAAAATCGACTTTCCTCCAAATAAATATTTCACTCTAGATTATTCTATTTTCTTTATCATTACTAAAGCTCATGATATTCTAAGCGCTGCACCTTAAATGTCCTCAACCTGACATTTGCTCCACATTACTCATCATCCAAAACCAGATCCAGCAATACCCCTTCCTCATTAGACTAGAAACATAATGGAGAAACTTATACTGAACACAGTTGAGAATTTTTCTTCGCTGTTTACAGTATCATCATCCATATATGGGTAAGGATAATCAAAACCATCCCCCATTATCAATTTATTTTTCCTGTACCCCTCTAAAATTTTCTCCTCGTATTCTTTTGCACCTGTTAACGGCATGTATGATACAGCCATTAATACAATGGCATTGAGCTGTTGGTCTTCCCTGCCCTGAGTGCACCCAGTCTCCTCAACAGAACTCTGGGTGAGTGTCTCCCCTCCACTCCTGTGTGCGTGCACAGATGCACACATGCACCAATTATGGTGGTGGCATCCCCCTGACAGATTCTCCAAGTGTTAACATCTAACCCCAGTCGTTGAGGCTGAGTGCGTGTGTTTGCCTGCAACTGAGTGACAGAGAACATGTATGCCCCACAATAACTGAGCCTTGAAGCAGCAAGCACCTGCCCTAAACCAAATAGTGTAATGTCACCTCTGATGATCTCTTAACCTGAAGATTATATGATGTGCCTTGCATGAAGTTACATGGTTAGAGCATGTATGTGCATGAGTTTTCTTTTGCCTTGACTCTGGGTGGCACAAGGATCTGACCCTTGTTTGGACTTGTGATGAATTTACCTTTGTCATACTTTAATCTGTGAACAATTAAAGTATGGCTCATTGTCTGACTAACCATGGTGCGTGTTGTCAGAAGCCTTAAATGACCAACTTATACACAGCATATCTTCCTGCTGGGTGTTATGCATTAAAATTTACCAGTACAGCACACAGCATTTTGTTTGTATGTGGATATTCAGGACCTGTAATTTTGTGTTCTGTCTTTTATTTTCAGGCCTAGTAGTCTAAATCTTGCCCAAGCTGTTATTGATGGAGTAAGTGCCTTAGATGGAACTTACCAAGGTATGTGCCAAAGTTAGTTTCACAACTTTATCTTTTGAAAGTAATCTTGTAACCTGTATTTACTTATTTCGAAACATGAATATTTTATACTTTACATTTAGCATCCTATTGAAGATATGTCAGCGCTGGATAGTAACTTGGGTATCAGCTACGTATAACATTGACACATTAAAAGGTGTAATTTATGCTGACAGCACAATTTTCCATTCACCAAGGTGGCAGGTATAATACCAAGTGTCATGATGAGTTAATTGGGCAGAAGTCAAAAGTAAAATTCATACTGCAACAGAAACGAGCAATTAAGTCCTCCCTCCTTAGATGACGTGGCAAGAAACCTACATACTCACATTTGCATCTTAGTAATTGCACAACCTCAGGAACATAGAAGATAGGAGCAGGAGGAGGCCATTTGGCCTTCACGCCTGCTCCACCATTCTTCACGATCATAGCTGATTGTCCAACTCAATAGCCTAATCCCGCTTTCTACTCATAACCTGTGATCCCATTTGCACCAAATGCTATATCTAGTCGCCTCTTGAATACAGTCAATGGTTTGGCATCAACTACTTCCTGTGGTAATGAATTCCACATGCTCACCACTCCTTTGGGTGAAGAAATGTCTCCTTATCTCTGTACTAAGTCATCCACCCAGAATCCTCATACTGTGACCTCTGGTTCTGGACACACCCACCATCGGGAACGTCCTCCCTGCATTTACCCTGTCTAGTCTTGTTAGAATTTTACAAGTCTCTGAGATCCCCCCTCATTTGTCTGAACTCTAGCAAAAAAAAAATCCTCACCAAGGTCCTGTATAATTGCAACAACACATCCCTGCTCCTGTACTCAAAACCTCTCGCAAAGAAGGCCAACATAACACATGCCTTCTTTACTGCCTGCTGCACTTGCTTGTTTACTTTCAGCAACTGGTGCACAAGGATGCCCAGGTCCCACTGCACACTCCCCTCTCCCAATTTACAGCCATTCAGGCAGTAATCTGCCTTCTTGTTTTTGCTTCCGAAGAGAATAACCTCACACTTATCCAAATTGTACTGCATCTGCCATTGATTTACCCACTCACCCAGCCTGTCGAGTTCATGCTGAAGGATCTCTGCATCCTCGTCACAGTTCATCCTCCCACCACAATTTTCCCTTCAATTAAATGCTTGCCCAGTCAAGATACTGGCTGCCTCAGAACTTGACTATATCAAACGTGTACCTGTTCACTTTGCTGTTCTGCCTCCAGTCTGGGATGAGTCCACAGATTTCACTGCCTCTACCAAAACCTTGTTGATGATCTCTGGCTTCTGACCTGACAGGGTCAGACAGCAGCTTTTGCGTGACACTTCAGCCTAAGAGTCTAACACCAGGTTTAGTATCAGAATGGTATTTTAGCCCACAAGGCAGGCATCTGTTGCAGCGAGGGCACTTTAGCATAGAAGGCAAGGTGTAACCATGTGGCTAGAAGGCAATGAAATGCTTGTTTGAAAGTTGGGTATGTTTTGCTGTGCGGCATGGTACTTTGTCATTGTCAGCTGGCATGTGCTTGCAATGTATATAGCAAGCACAGTGCATATGCATGCATGAAGACTACGGTGATACCTTTTGTGAAAGGGAAAATGTGAGAGTAAGCTGTATTCGACCAGAGGGTATCACCACAGTCTGGAGTGACTGGAGAGCTTGGGCTGTTTACAGTCTGGGGATGTTGGCCAAAGTCAGCAGGAATCAGGGTTCAACTCCGTTTTGGTCTGGTATTTGTTATTCAGTTTTGGGTTGTGGGCTTCGCTGGCTGGGCCGTAGTCAGTCCTGGAAGTTGCACAATATCTTGCTTGTCAGTCAGTTGCATTCATCTTGCAAATTCAGTCCAGGGAATGGTCATGGTCAGTTGGGGCTATCCTGTAAAGTTTGTCCAGGTGATGGGCCACTTCAGCACGAAAGCCAAGGAAGCACCTTGTGGCTTTGAGAGAACACTCTAGCACAGAATGCAAGCAGGCAGGTGGTTGTTGTATGTAACTGGTCAGTTTTATGATCTGTCTGTGGTGTTGTCAAGCTTGCAAGCAGCTCAGATTAGGGGATTATCAGGCTATATTGTAATCGAGCAAGAGTAGAAACCTTCAAGCTGCTATGATGTTGATGGCCAGGAGCTGTCCTCAACAACAGCAACAGCAACAATGCAGAATTAAAAGGAACTTGTGATGCTTGGGGCTTCCAAGGTGTGAGACTAACCTCAGAGCATACCTTGGAACATCAGGAGGAAAGATGTCAGGGATCAACAGTCCCTTTATTACTAAGGCTCTGTACTTTGAACAGACCTGAGAACGAAAATGAAGGCAGCATGGCAGAGATTAATACAGCAGTTCTTTTTCTAATTCTGATTCATAGAATCATACAATACAGAAGAGGCCCTTCGGCTCATTGTGTCTGTACTGCCAAAATACACAACCACGTATACTAGTCCCACTTTCCTGTAATAGACCTGTAGCCTTCACTGTTGTGACACTTCAGATGCTCCTCCAAGTACTTTTTAAAAGGTTGTGAGCCTTCTTGCAGTTGTACTACTGCACTGGAACCACTACAGAAGACAACAGACATTTGCAGCAATAACAGCTGCCACTGGCTTCCGTACTGCCTTCAGATAGAGAAGTAGCAGTTTATAAGCACCATGTCTTGCATGAAATAGGATGACAGGTCATCTGCAAATGGTTGAATGTCTGGGTTTACGGAGCCATTGTGTCACATCTATGCCAACTACTGATGAGGACCTGCATTCACAGGGACTGGGTTGTAACGTAAATAAAGGAAACATGATAAATGGAAATGTTACTTAAAAGGATGATGGTGGATATGCAATGGCAAACATTCAAAGAGTACATGGAGGAAGTGCAATAATTGTTTATTCTTGTCTGGCTTGAGTTTCCACAATACCGAAAATGTAGACAAACTCTTTGATCGTTCATTCTAGCCTACTAGGACCTCTGACTCATCTCGCTCTGCAGGTTGAGCATGTTACCCAGCCAAATACAGAGGTACATCTTATGCATGGGCTCAGGTGTTTCTTTGTGTTGGCTGTGGACTGTTTTCAGCGATGTGATCACCAGATTGTGTCCTTGAATCTATTCTGACTAATTTTGGTGGAGGGTGCAGGTCCATATTCTGAAGTTGAACAGTGAGTGGCATGATGGTTCGTTGGTTACCACTGCTACCTCAGTGCCAGGGACCCAGGTTTGATTCCAGCCTTGGGTGATTACATGTGGAGTTTGCAAGTGCTGTATCTGTGAGCATTTTCCCCATGGGTGCTCTGGTTTCCTCCCAGTGAAAAGATGTGCAGATTAGGTGGATTGGCTGTGCTTAATTGACCTGTAGTGTCCAGGGATGTGCAAACTTGGTGGGTTAGCCATGGTAAGTGTGGGGTTACAAGGATGTGGTGAGGGTTGGGTCTTCAGAGGGTTGTGCAGATTCGATGGGCTGAATAGCCTCTTTCCACACTGTAGGGATTTTATGGTGCTGGATGGAGGGCTTGGGCTGTGACCTCTTGTGCTAGATGGCAGTAGAACCTGTTGAAGAGGAAGAATTAGTTTGTGAAGTTACAGAATAGTTTGTGCAGACCAACATCATCCAAGAAGAGCAGAACACAATGTTCTGGCCTATTCATGCCTTTGTCATGTAATGGATGGTCCTGGTCTTTTCCATCCAGCTTGATGGCCTTTCTTCTGCCCAACCAGGCTTGGCTTTGTAATAGTTGTATGCTAGCTTTTTTAATAAAAAGCTTGTCAGAGGTTATGAGTGTTGCTGGCTAGGCCAGCATTTATTGTCCATCTCTAATAGTCTAGAGTCTCATGTAGACCAGACCTTTTGTAAGGATGAAGTATTTCCTTCCCAAAAGGAGTTTGGTTTTGACAATAAAAGGACGTGGTGGTCATTAGCTAAAGACCAATACATAGGTGTAGGCCCTTAGGCCCACCAATACTACACATGATACCTTTCTAAACTACAAACCTTTTGCCTCAATGCTGTCTGTATCCCTCTATTTCTTGCCTAATCACGTATCTGTCAAAATGGATCTAAAAATGTTGCCAATGCAACCCACCTTCTCCATCACCTCTGGCATTCTAGGCATGTACCACCCTCTTTTTAAAGGAGATGCAAGGCGGGTTTTTATTACTTACCCCCTTTCACCTTAAACGCATGACCCCTTGTAATTGACATTGCTGCCCTGTGGGGGAAAAACCTGACTATTCTTTCTATGCCTCTTCATTATTTTGAGAACTTCTATCAGGTTGCCCCTCATGCTTTGATATTCAAGTGAAAACAAATCCAAGTTCATCCAATCTCCTCTTATAGCTAATACCCCCTAAACCATGCAGCATCTTGATAAACCATTTCTGCACCCTCTTCAAAGCCTTCACATCCTTCTGGCAAAGTGGCAACCCAAACTGTATACAAAATTCCAAATGTGGCCTAACTGAAGTTCCATACAGTTGCAACATGAAATGCTGATTTTTATACTCTGTGCCCTGACTGATGAAGGCAAGCATGCCATACGCCTTCGTGACCACCTTATCCACTTGTGTTGCCACTATCAGGGAACTGTAGACCTGTACACATAGATCCCCCTGTATTTTTATGCTACTAAAGATTCTCCCATTTACTGTATACCTCCCTTCTGCATTAGACGTTCTAAAATGCATGACCTTACATTTGTCTGGATTAAACTGCCATTTCTCAGTCCAAAGTTTCCAGCTTATCTACATCCTGCTGTATCATCTGGCAGCCCTCCTCATACTGGTCTCCCGCAATCTTTGGGTCATCCACAAACTTGCTAAAGAGGCAACCTACCTTCTCCAAATCATATACATGTTACAAATAACAGGGGTCCCAGCACTGATCCCTGCTGAACACCACTGATCATAGATCTCAAAAACCAAAATATGCCCTTCCACCGCAACTGTGACTAAGCCAGTTCTGTATCCATTTTACCAGATCACTGAAGATCCCGTGTGATTTCACCTTTTGTATCAGCCTGCCATGAGGGACCTTGTCAAAGGGCCTTTTTAAAGTCTATATAAACAACATCTACTGACCTGCCCTCAATCATCTTTGCCACTTCCCAAAAAATGCAAGTGAGAGACGACCTTGTCCGCAAAAAGCTATGCTGCCTTTCCTAAAAAGTCCATTTTCTTCCAAATACGAGCAAATCCTATCCCTATGAATCTTCTACACTTTCCCTATCACTGATTTAAGGCTCACTGGCTGATAATTTCCCAGATTATCCCTGTTGCTATTCTTAAACAAAGGAACAACATTGGCTATTCTCCAGTCCTCTGGGACCTCTCCTGTGACTAAAGAGGATACAAAGATTTCATACAGGTCCCAGCAATTTTGTCACCTGCTTCCCTCAGCATTCTGCTAGAGATCCCATCAGTCCTGGGGACTTGTCTACCTTAATGGTTTTCAAAATACTGAATACCGTCTCCTTTATACATCTTTACATACCCTAGAATTTCAACATAAACTTTCTGGGATTCACCATCCACTATGTCCTTCTCCTTTGTGAATGCAGATAAAAAGTATTCATTAAGGACCTAACCCACTTCCTCTTGCTCTGTGCATAAATTCTGTCCTTTGTCCTTGAGTAGACCGAATCTTTTCCCAGCTTCCCTTTTGTTTATATATAATAGGATTTCCCTTAATCTGTTTGCCAAAGACATTTCATGGCCCCTTTTAGCCATCCTAATTTGTCTTGTTTGAGTTCTTTCCTGCTCTTTGTAATCTTCAGTTTCCTAAATCTTGTGCATGCCTCCTTTTTCTTTTTGACAAGCGCTCAACTTGTCATCTAAGGTTCCTAAATCTTACCATCCTTATCACTCATTTTCACAGGAAGGTACTGGTCCTGCACTCTAATCAACTGGCCTTTTAAAGATTCCCACGTACCAGATTTGGATTTACTGTCAAAAAAATGACCCCAATCTACATTCCCCAGTTCCTGCCTTATTTTTGCCTAGTTAACTTTCCCCAATTTCACCTGAGGACTATACTTGCCCTTATTCAGAAGTAACTTTAAAAAAAGCTTCAAATTATGGTCACTGTTCCTGTAATACTCCCACACAGAAACTTCAATCAACTGACTGGGTTCATTCCCAATTCCAGGTCTGGAATAGCCCCTTCCCGGATTGGAGTAGTTACATATTGTTTCAAAAACCATCCTGTACACACTTAATAAATTCCCCACCATCCAAGGTCCTGGCACTAGCAAGTCCCAATCAATATAGTGGAAGTTAAAATCTGGGCCCCTTGTTGAGGTTGGCATGTTGGAACAGATGCAATGGAGATGGGGGATGAGGGAGAATGGACAAGAGTCTTTGCAGGAAGCAGGGTTGAGGATGTATATTCAAAGTAAATGTGGGAATCGGTGGGTTTGTAGTGGATATTGGTGGCCAGCCTGTCCCCAGAAATGAAAACACAGATGTTGAGGAAGGGAAGGGAGGAGACAGAGATGGACCAGGTGAAGGTGAGGGCAGGATGGAAATTGGAAGCAAAATTGATTAACTTTTCCAATTCTGGACAAGAGAGGGAAGCCACGCTGATGATGTCATTAATGTACTGGAGAAAGAGTTGTGGATAGCTGCCGGAGTAAGAGAATACCAATCTTTTCCTAGCTACATCAGTTTTGAGGAAGGGTCACTGGGCCCGAAGCCTTAACTCTGCTTTCTCTCCACAGATGCTGCCTGACCTGCTGAGTTTTTTCAGCAGTTTCCAAAATGGCAGAATCCTTTAGGCCATTTCCCTCTCAATGCCTGCCCGTGCTTACTCGTCTTCCTGGTGGTAATCTGACTCTGTGTAGCCCTTACCGGTGGTGCGACCAGCTTGCTAAATGTGCTATCCACAACATCCTTAACCTCATGGATGTTCCATAGTGAGCCCATCCACAGCCATCGCCATGCGGCAAATCAGGAGCTGAAGTTGAACACACTTCCTGCATATGTAGTCAGTATGGACACTGGAAGTGTCCCAGATTTCCCACAGATTGCAGGAGGAGCATTCCATGGGGCCAAGTTCTTCTGCTGTTTCAAACCCTATGAACTCCAGACAACAAGGAACTGATTACACAACTTTTATCGACTAGTCACAAAACTCAGGTCTCTCCCTCTTGCTGTCTTAACAGACTACAACTAAAAAAAGTAAGTACTTTATCTCTCTTGAGGCACTACTCACTCAGTCTGTAAGCCTGGTTCATGAGCAGCCAAGCCTTTGCATGTGATCCCCATCTGAGTCTTGGTGACTAAACTGGCATCTCCCAGAATGTTCCTAGGTTGCTTCTTACCAGCACCCTCTATTGTGGCTAACTGTTTATGCCTGACTTTCTGTTATTGAGCTTACATTTCATCATCTGCCATTGTGTGATTCAAACCCATGTCCCAAGAACATTACCTTGCTGATCTGGATGAACAGTTCAGTGCATTACCGCTGTCTCCTCTGGAGCTGCAATTGTCCTGCCATAAGACAAAGAGAAAGATTGTGTGATGGAAGTGGATGCAGGTCAAGTTTGAGATGAAATGTGGCAAGCAGTTTCCAGTAAATGAGTTGGAAATGTAATGGTCAGGGAAGGGTTAATAGTTTGAGAGGATTAGTTGGGTGTGGGCCTTCTAACACGCATCATGCATATGATGCTGAGGATTGCACTTAATGACTGTTCACGAGCTGCTTGTGCAGTGGAAAGGATACACACTCTGTGTGCAAGGTAGAAGAGGTAAGATGGTAGCACTTCCTCTACTCTCCCAAAGCTATCATTCATTTTCTTGCAGCACTACTTGTAGTCCCTTTTCTGCAAACCAATGGCAGTGACCCACAATGTGCTCAGCTCTCAGGACAGCAATTCTGATTGATGGACACGTCATATCGTCCCTGGGATGAGGGTGAACTTCACTTGGTCATCTGTCCAGGAGTATCTGCAAGGCAGCATCAATAAACCTAGAGCCTGCTTTGAATTCTTGGTATGCTTTCCTGAGCTTCTGGTGCTAGCTATCACAGGTTCCAGTGCTGTTTCTGGCTTCTAGCAAGTGAAACAATGTCCAGCTGGCTTTTAAATATGGTGTCAGAACCTTTGAACCCAGATTGTCTTGCGAGTGGTGAGAACTGTTCGTTTGAATCTTGATTTGTCTACTAACTCATGCAATATCTCTCTCACTCAGATAATAAGCTGAAAAGCATATGAATGCATGAGATAACTTGTCCCAGCCATTGGCTGATATAATGTGACCCAAGATGTTTGCTGTCACAATTCAAAATGAGAAATCTTGACTATCAGAATTTGATGAGGGTCTTTCAACTATTCAGCATAAAATATTCAATCGTGCTATTCTTTTTGAATGCTAATATTAACATGTCTTAAATTCCTTTCCAGCAGGCAGTTTGGATTTTAATTTCACACAATATAGACGTCACATGTTATGGTCTTGAATCTGGCAGGATATGACAAAGGTGAAATCAAATGGATTGTGACGATACTGATCTTTTTAAGAGAGGTGCTCTATGTTGTTTCTCTTGTAGAAGGGTGTTGTCATTGTGGTGCTGAACTATCTCCTTCAGACATGCAGTTAGTGAACAGTCTTGAGTTCTCCCTGAGTGGTTTTTCTTTAAGCAAAAGAATCATGAGTGGGCACGGTCAGCGCTGTCATAGACCCAGGAAGATTTTTACTTCTGCTTTCAGTTAGTTGAGAAGTTATCTGCTGGCTTGTGGAGCTGAATGCCTAAGTTCTCTGTTGCGAGAGTGAAGTCTTAGACAACGAGGCTTCCTCTTAAAAATCAATAGGGGAAGATTGTTTCTTCTGGACTGCAGCACGTGAGAATAATGACAGTGTAACTGTTTTACTGAATTGCCTTTTTGCCAAAGGTGGTGTTTATGGGATGTTGCCTTTATTGGAACAGTCGATGATTAGTGGTTAAATAATACATTATCTTGTTAAGTATTTCCATAGTGTAAAGTTATGCCAATTCCTCCTTTTGTTGTATTTTAACTGTGTTGTAAAAACAAAGTACATTTTGATAAAAGCTTGACGATGGACCAATCGAATCATGTCTGGAACACAACGCCTTACACTTGCCTTTTAAAAATAATACATAAAAGTTAGGGTCTAGGCTATCTTCATAATATACTTCTGTGGGGTAGTTCTGGTCTGGTCCAGTCCATAACAGGTCATATTATTAAGCTTTCTGAAGAAGGTTCTCGACCCAAAACGTCAGCTTTCCTGCTCCTCTGATGCTGCTTGGCCTGCTGTGTTCATCCAGCTGTACACCGTGTTATCTCATATTATTAAGCTATTAATAATAGGTTATATGATTCTCTTGATTGTAGATTATGGCCTTGTAAGCACCCCACAGCTGCATTATATGGTTTGCTGTTGGAATACCATGGAGCATTATGGGACTGCCACAGTGGAAGGATATTACCAGAAACTTTCTCAGGCCTTTCTTGCAATGACTAAGCAGGTACTTTTATTATCAATAAAGAAGGTTGACTGTTTAGAAAAGGTGTTGAAGTTAAAAGTGTTCCTGTTGGACATCTCCCATAAATGCTAAACTTTATTCAACAGGCTGGATAATCCTTAAGATAACAATTATGCCACGACCATAAAGATTTACTCACTACAAATTGATTGATTGTGGCTAATTATGAATTGGAACACAGGATTAAATTGGATAGCTCTTTTATTTCCAGCTGATGTGGGCATGAAGAGCAGAATGGTCGCATGATTTCTCTTTCCGTTGATTGGTATTAATGTTTCCACACTTTGCTGTTACTAGTCTGAGAAGTGAGAGTTACCAGATGAAAGTTGCTGAGGTGGCCCTTAATCTGCGTGAATCCTCAGAAGAATTCAGCTCCTTGATTTCAGCTGACGCTGCCATAATGTTGACATTGTACGGGACATTGGTGAGGCCTCTTCTGGAATACTGTGCCCAGTTCTGATCACCCAGTTGTAGGAGGGATATTATTAAGCTGAAGAGGGTTTAGAAGAGATTTATAAGCATGTTGCATGATATGGAAGGTTTGAGTTATAAAGAAAGGCTGGATAGTCTGGGACTTCTTTCACTGGAGCGTAGGAGGTTGAGAGGCGACTTTATAGGAGTTTATAAAATAATGAAGGATATAGAAAGCGTTAATGGTAGTTGTTTTTCCCCTAGAATGGGGGGATTTCAGGACTGGGGACATAATTTTAAGGTGAGATGAGAGATTTAAAAAAGACATGAGGGACAACTTTTTTTACACAGAAGGTGGTTCGCATGTAGAATGAACTTCCTGAGGAAGTGGTGGAAGTGGGTGCAGTTACAACGTTTAAAAGGCATTTGGATAAGTACATGAGCGGGAAAGATTTGGAGGAATATGGGCCAAGAGCAGGCAGGTGGGATTAGTTTAGTTTAGGATTGTGTTCGGCATGGACTAGTTGGACCGAAGGGTCTGTTTCAGACTAGCACACCTTCAAATCTGTTGCACTTCCTGTCTTTTTCAACTTTTCCAGTTGGCTACCCATCTACTATTCAGAATTTTCTCGGCTTGAAGGGTGGCCACAGCCTGGAATACACAATCCAGGAAACTCTTAATTTTCTTCTTATTCCTCAGAAATCCGGAGTTTAAGCCAGATGACCTGTAAGTTGCATTTAATGACTGTCCATCTATATTTTATAAAGAATTATTTTTTCTTTTAATATCCAGTTAGAATTTTGTTTAAGAAATTCATTTTTTTGCCAAGCTGTTTAAGCTATTGATGATTAATTCCTCTGGACCTAGTGTATACTAATACTCTTCTGAGTATTTCACTTATTGCAATACATAACCCAAATAAATTTTTAAAATTTTCTCTCTTCCAGTTTAAACAAAAGCCTTAGTTTAAAGAGTAAAAGCAAGGTACTGATCACCCACTCATTTATCTGCTTTCAAATGATGTCATGTTTTGAATATCTTTCTTTGTGGTTGACATTTTCTAATGTAATTGGTCCATTCTGATCCACCTAGCTCTTCATCCCTCCACCAGACTCATTCATTTTTCACTGTAAGGCTTGCAATACTTGCCAGTCTTGCTCTGTACTTACTCCATCATCCAATAAACTGAAACTGCCAAGGACATACACCGGCTTTTTTGAGAATGGCCACATTATCTATAATAAGGTATGAACGTTGATCATTGGTCATGGTTTTCAAGTGTTGGCAAAAGTCAGAGTATGTTTTGTTCTCAGTATTCAGATGTGAATTGCCGATGTTGTGATTTGATTTCGCACACTGTCCAAGCTGCAAAATCAATATTGCTTACATTTAAACATTTGAAACATTTTTTAGCTGATAATGTTATTAATTTGAGATGATTGATGATTAAGGGTATATGTATCTTTTTGATTAAATGAGTGTGAGACATCTACATGAGACATATTCTATTGGTGTGATTCAATATTCTCTCAATCCACAGACTCCTTACCATCCAGAAGAATTACGACAATTGAATGTGGACGGAGCAAATGGTATTGGTGCACTAAAGCTCCAGGAATTGGAGCCATACCTTGAGAAAAAGCTGCAGCTGAAGGTCCATAATAATGGTGTGAATGGCAAACTGAACTACCTCTGCGGAGCAGATTTTGTAAAGGTTCAACAGAAGTTACCTCATGGCAAGTGATGGAATTGAAGAGTTTGTGAAATGAAATGATCGAATACAAATTTACAGTGGAGGCCATTTGAATCATTATGCTTTTATGTCTTGTCTACACAAGGCCCTATGTTTCTTTGGTTCAAACATCTATTGACATTTCTCTTGAAAATGTGCAACTCCCTTTGCCTCAGCTATTCCAAATGACAATGTATTCTTTAAAGAGCTTCTGCTAGGTGAAACAAATTCAAATTCTTCTCTAAATTTGTGATTTAACGTGACCAAAATCAATAGCACCCAAACCAGCTGAAGTAAAATACCCCATTCACTCTACTAAAACCCTTCATAATTTTAGAAAGTCTAAATAATTATCCCCTCAGCCTTTTCTGCGCCAATATCTTCAGGCTTTCCTCATAACTTTGGTTTTCCACCCCCAGTATCTTCCTGATGAAAATACACTTGTGCTTCTTTATTGAGTTACCTAAGAAATTTCCTGCATCACTAACTATCTGTGAGCCATATAAAATAATGTATAGAATCATAGAATTTTACAGTACAGCAGGAGGCCATTCGACCCATCATGTCTGTACCAGCTCCCAAAAGAACTACCAGCTTTCCAGCCTTATCTCCACAGCCCTCTACCTTTAGCACGTTAAAAATTTGACCAGCTCTCTTTTGAAACCTATGGAATCTGCCTCCACCACTGTCCCACGTAGCATATTCTGAAACCTAACAACTTTCTAAAAAAAAGAAATTTCTCCTTATTTACTGACAATCTTAAAATTGTGACCCTAGTTACTCTCATACCAACGACTGGAAACAGAATTGTAGAATCCCTACAGTGTGAAAGCAGGCCATTCGGCCCATTGAGTCAACACTGACTCTCAGAAGTACATTCCACCCAGACCCACATGCCCTACTCTATCCCTGTAACCCAGCATTTCCCATGGGCAGTCTACCTAATCTGCATATCTTTGGACTGTGGGAGGAAACTGGAGCACCCGGAGGAAACCCACGCAGACACAGGGAGAATGTGCAAACTCCACACAAACAGCTGCCCGAGGGTGGAATCAACCCTGGGACCTTGGTGCTGTGAGGCAGCAGTGCTAACCACTAAGCCGCCATGCCGTCCAATATCGTTCTTTACCGAGTCAAAATTGTTTACAATTTTGAACACCTCAATAAAGTCACCTCTTAATCTTCTCTGCTTCAGGGAGAATATGGCCAATCTCTCTAATCTTTCCTTATATCTAAAGCCCTTCATTCCTAGTATTATTCTTGTAAATCTGCTTTGAATTCTCTCCAGGGCTTTAACATCCTTCCTTAAATAAGATGCCCTAAACTGAACACGCTATTCCTGTGACGATATTTTAAGAAGTGTATTTTGACCTGTTTTCTTTTTATGAAGGGTTGAGCAGAGGCGCCAAGCAGTCTGTTCCAAAGCCAATAAACAGCTTGTGAAACCTTGGGATTTTTTAAAAATTGGAACAATAGAAGCAGTCTGAATGGGTGGGGTCAAGCTCCCACAAAACTACGATTTTTTTAGTTTTAGCCTTCAGTACCAGTTGCTGGGATCTTGAAGCTGGATGAGGAACCTCTTATTCTTCTCTCTGTTACACTTAAAGCTGGGATTCTCTTCCTGCTGCTAGAACTGCACGTGAGACTATCTATTGTACTCAATTTACCTTTGCCAAGAATGTTTTATGGGATTTTACTATATTGGAACAGTTATTTAGTAGTAGTTAATATATATAGTATTTTGTTAAGAGTTTTGGTAGAGTTACAGTCAAGCCAATTCTCTTATTTTTATTTTCTGTATTTTAATTCTGGTGTAAGGATAAAGTGTGTTTTGTTTCAAGCCTGGTAATTTGACCAATCAAATTCCATCCGGAATACAATGCCTTACAATTACCTTTAAAATAAGAAAAAGCTAGGGTCTAGACGACCTTCTTAATATATTTTGAAGGGGTTTGGTCTGGTCCATAACAAACTGGGGTCTATTGTCAGGATCAAAATCTCTAATTCTAGGTTGGGTTTAGGATTAAGGCAGTGAGTGTTGGTGTTCTGTTTTCGGGTTTTGAATTTGGTTGGCTTAAATAGGGTGTGCCTTTTGTAGTATGGCTCTTCAGTCACTAAAAGTTTCCTGGGGGTGGAAGAAGTCACTTTAGGAGTTTTACAGATGGTGAGCAAGGCACAGCTTTTGGAATTGGCAGCCAAGCTGGGGAATGTCTTTGTCCATACAAAAAGGAGGGATAATTACAGCAGTAACTGGGTATTTATGATTGCCGGAAATGCCATCGGAATCAATGGAAATGGCTAAAATTCAATTGCAAATGAAGCAGCGTGAACACAAAAAGGAAATGAAACAATTTGAATTATGATTGAAAGCAGAGGAAAGTGAAAAGGAAAGGGAGAAAGAGTTTTTGAATTTCAGAGGTTGGAACTGAAAACTCAAAAGTTGGCTTAAAATAGTGGAGGTAGATGTGAAAGGTAGCAGTGATGATGAATACAGTAATGGAGAGCAATCCCATCGTAGCTAAGGACTTGATGGGGATCTATTTAGACATGTCCAAGCATTGCCTAAGTTCAACGAGAAGGATGTAGAAGGCTTTTCATTTCTTCTGAGAAAGTGGCTAAACAAATGAACTGGTCGGTGACCGTGTGGATATTGTTAATTCAAACAAATTTGGTGCGTAGAGCTTGTGAGGTATTTGCATCACTATCTGAGGAGGTGAGCAAAGCTATTTTAACTGCATATGAGCTGGTACCAGAAGCCTACAGACAACGTTTCAGAAATCTAAGGGAATCTGGTCAAGTATACACCAAGTTTGAAAGGATCAAACAAAGTATCCTTGATAGGTGGATACGGGGACTGAAAATAGATCAAATATAAGACACTCTTAGAGAGAAGATTATTTTGGAGGAATTCAAAAATTAATAGATCATAGAATCCCTGCAGTGTGGAAACAGGCCCTTCAGCCCAACAAGTCCACACTGACCCACACAGCACCCCACCCAGACCCATCCCTCCCCAATAAACCCACCTAATTTACACATCCCTGAACACTATAGGCAATTTAGCATGACCAATTCACCTAGCCTGCACATCTTTGGACTGTGGGAGGAAACCGGAGCACCCGGAGGAAACCCACACCAACATGGGGAGAGTGTGCAAACTCCACACAGACAGTCGCCCAAGGGTTGAGTCGAACCCGGGTCCCTGGCATTGTGAGGCAGCAGTGCTATCCACTGAGCCACCGTGCCGCTCACGTCACTTCCTGAAGTAGTGAGAACTCCTGTGGAAGAGCAGGAAGTTAAAACTGCAAGATTGACAGTGGAAATGGGTGATAATTATGAATTGGTTTAGAAATCAAAGTTTGGGTTCCGACATCAATTTCAGTCCGTGAGGGATAGAAATTGGGGAAAAGAGAAATCAGGTGATAAAATGAGATGAAAAGTAGTTACTTTGGAGAGTATGAAAGCTGTACCTGCCAGTACAATTCCAATTGCTTTGTCAATGTTGCAGTCTTCATATTGCTCACGATCCTTCTGCTTTATGTGAATGCAGACTGGGCATTTCCTCATGACTAAATAGTGATTTTCAATGGACCAATTAGTGCTGCTACTTGTAGAGGATATAAATCTCTTGGAGACTGACCCAAACAGCTTATTAAAAGGTTTATACCAATACAGCAAGGAAAAGCATCATGGACGTAAGGGCACAGAGCACTGCAGTTTCTTTGGGAAACCATAGTACTGCAGGCCAGATTATGGAGATAAAACTTGTATAAGCTTTATAGGTTGCATTGCAAGTGAACAGGATAGTTTCCAGCTATTGTCTGCTCTAATTATGAGAAAGTTGTTAACAACCATATTTTCAATTGTTACAGGCTTATTACACATTAAGACAAATGAACGCAGCTGCTCATTTGATGGTGATGCAGACAGAATTGTATACTATTATATTGATGAATCTGGATGCTTCCATCTTCTTGATGGAGATAAGATTGCAACTTTAATTACTATATTTCTGCAGGAGCTTCTTGTCAAGGTAAATCCTTACTTCAAGTCATCTCATGATGTTGATGTTCATGAAACAAATCTTAGTGGCTGACTCAGCAACTGTGGAGAGAACGGACATGTTAAGATTTTAGCTGAAAACCCTTCATAATAGTGTGATGCAGATCTACACATTATTTACTCTTTCCATACATGCTGACTGACCTGTCTGTTTAAAGCATTTTCTGTTTTTGCTTCAGGTTTTGCTACAACTGCAGGGTTTTTCTTTGTACTTTGTTACTTTTCAAAATTTGCACTTAAAATATAAAGAACTAAAATGTATCAATGTATATTTGAACAGTTGTACCTGTAGATCATCAGTTTTGAAATGAAGGATCACATTTGTAGTTATTATTCATTAACCTGTTTAAATGTGTTATGACACACTTCTGGAGCCGGTGGAATTTGTACCTAGGACTTCTGGTTCTGAGGTAGGGAAGTGTCACTGTGTCATGGGCACCCGTAGAATTACGTTTATATGTTTTGTTGTTTATCATTATTAGATTTATTAAGCTATCTGTTTCATCCTCCTTTGGTTATAGGCTGCCCACTAATCATAGCTCAAGTCTCCCAGTCTCCCCATGTGTGGAATCATAGAATGTTTACAGTGTAGAAGTCTGCGCTGCTTGTCTGCAAAACAACTCATCCATTCACTGTAGCCGTGCAAGTTTTCTCCATTCAGTTCCAATTTGAAAGCCACAATGGAGTCCGCTTTCATGTTATTGTCAGAGCATTCCAGATTCTTACAATTTGCTATATAAAAAAATTTCCTTCTTGTTGCTGAGATAACAAGGTGCAGAGCTGGATGAACACAGCAGGCCAAGCAGCATCAGAGGAGCAAGAAGGCTGACGTTTCGGGCCCAGACCCTCTTGTTGATGATAGGTCTTTTGAACATCACCTTTCAATTGGTTTCCTACTGCGATTACAGAATGATAAAGTCCCTACAATGTGGAAATAGGCCATTTGGTCAATTTGAGTCCATACCGACCCTCCAAAGAGCATCCCACCCAGACTCACCCTATCTCTGTAACCCTGCATTTCACATGGCTAATCCACCTAGCCTGCACATCCCTGGTCACTGTAGGCAATTTAGCATAGCCAATCCACCTAACCTGCACAGTTTTTCTCCATTTATTCTGTTTGCCTCCTTATGATTCTGAGCAACTCTGTCAAATCTTTTCTCAATCTTCTCTCACAGAGTCCTACAGCATGGTGACAGGCCCTTCGACCCAAACAGGTCCATGCTGACCACATTAACCCCATTTCCCTGCACGTGGCCCATATCCTTCTAAACCTTTCCTATCCATGTATTCGTCCAAATGCCTTTTAAATGTTGTTAATGTACCCGCCTTAACCATTTCCGCTGGCAGCTCATTCCATTTGCGTACCATCCTCTGTCTAAAAAAGTTGCCCCTCAGATTCCCATGTATTCTTTCCCCTCTTACCTAAAATTGATGCCCTCGAGTCCTCAATTCCCCAACCCTGGGAAAAAGATCGAGTGCATTTACCCTATCCATGCATCTCATGATCTTATATACTTCTGTAAGATCCCCCCTCAGTCTCCCATGCTGTAAAGAAGAAAGTCCTAGCTTGTCCAACCTCTCCCTATAACTCAGTCCCTTGCGTCCTGGCAACATACTTGTAAATTTCTTCTGCACTGTTCCCAGTTTAATAATGTCCTTTCTATTGCAAGGTGACCAAAACTGAATACTGCAATTGTGGCCTCAACAACATCCTGTACAAGTGCAACATAACTTGCACCTTCTGTACTCAGTGCCCTGACTGATGAAGGCCAGTGTCGCAAACTTCTTCACTGCCCTGTTTAACTGTGACTCCATTTTCAGAGAATTGTGCACCTGCACTCCAAGGACCCTCTGTTCCACTATGCTCCTTAAGGTCTTACCATTCATCATGGATCTCCTACCTTGATTTGACTTTCCAAAATGCAACACCTCGCATTATCTATATTAAACTTCATTTGCCAATTCTCGGCTCACTTCCCCCGCTGACCAATTTCTGATAAGCTTACTCACTGTCCATGATACCACCTATTTTAGTGTCATCCACAAACTAACTAATTGTGCCTTGTACGTTCTCATCCAAATCATTGATATAGATAACAAACAGCAATGGGCCCAGCACTGACCCCTAAGACATGCCACTAGTCACAGGGCTCCAGTCCGACAAGCATCATTCCACTAATAGTGCACTATCTGGGGTGGCATGGTGGTTCAGTGGTTAGCACTGCTGCCTCACAGCACCAGGTTCAATTCCACCCTCAGGCGACTGTCTGTGTGGAGTTTGCAGATTCTCCCTGTGTCTGCGTGGGTTTTCTCCGGGTGCTCCAGTTTCCTCCCGTAGTCCAAAGATGCACAGGCTAGGCAGATTGGCCATGCTAAATTGTCCATAGTGTTATGGGTGTGTGGGTGGGATGCTTCAAGGGTCGGTGTGGACTTGTTGGGCCGAAGGGCCTGTTTCCACACTGTAGGGATTCTATGTTATTATTACTCCCTGCTTCCTACCATCAAGCTGATTGTGTATCCAATTTGCCAGCTCTCTCTGGATTCCATGTGATCTGACCTTCCAGAACAGCCTACCATGTGGAACCTTATCGAAGGCCTTACTGAAATCCATGTAGACTACGTCTACCCGCTGCTCTCATCAACCTTCCTGATCACTTCATCAAAGAACTCTAACAAATTTGTGAGACATGATCTCCCACACACGAAGCCACGCTGACTATTCTTAATCAAACCCTGTCTTTCTAAATGCACGTATATTTTATCCCTCAGAATCTTCTTAAGTAACTTACCTACCACAGATGTTAAGCTTACTGGTCTGTAATTCCCAGGTTTCTCTTTGCAGCCCTTCTTGAATAAGGGCACAACATTCACTACCTTTCAGTCTTCTGGGACCCCACCCATGGCTAACGATGATGCAAATATATCTCAAAGAAGAGTAACCCCAGGTTCTCCAATGTATTTACTCAACAAAACCTCTTTGTGCTCTAAAGTGTGGAACCTGGAATTGAACACAATGTTGTGGTTGAGGCTGAACCAAATTTTTATAATGATTAATTTCAACATTCTTTTCTATTCTCTACCTCTATGTATAACACTCTGTTCCTACTTAACTATTTTTACAATCAGTAATGCAACCTGCAATGATTTGTGCACCTTCAGTTTTCTCTGTTCCTGAATTCCTTTTATATTGTTGGGAATTATGTTTCGTTCAGTATGTTTATTGTTCATTGCGTTCAGTTGAGCTACTTGCCCAGTTAGGTTTGTTTTATTCCATTATGGGGTCTTGACAGCATTGCTACAGAGATCCATAAACTCATGAACTCTCACTCAAACTATTACTTTATAGAAGTCTGGGAATAAGATGTACTAACACAATTTCATCATTGTTTCAAGAAGGCTGATGAGCCAATTATGGAAACTGTAAAGTTTTATCCATTCTATCCACTATGAGAAGGTTCTTATCTTAACTGCGTTCTATCTGTCAGCAAGTCTGGAGCAGCACAGAGTTCAATATAGCCTTTATTGATCTGTCAAAGGTGTCTGACCCCTTTATCACAAAGTGTTTGGCAAATCCTCCAGCAAAAGAGACCAGCAAAAGTTGTTATTATCTGCAACTCCTGCATTTTGGTATGATGGTAAATACAACCTTTGCAATGGATTGGAACCTGAGCCCTCTTTGGATTAGAGCTAATAGTTAAGTATTAGTAGTTAAGCTCCTTGGCTCTAGAGCTAATTGTCATTTTTCTTATTGCTCAGACAGACTTGGACTTGCAGATAGCAGTAATTCAGACTGCCTATGCAAATGGAAGCTCAACAAGATACATCACAGAGGTCATGAAGGTAATAAAATTCTGAAACTGAATTATTTGTAAATTTTAACAGTTTCAAAGTTGCCCATAACGTATATTAGTAATGCCTCACAATTAATGTGTAACTTAGCGATCTAACAATCATTTCAACCATGAACACCGCAAGTTACATATTGGCATGCAAATGAAATTACCCCATCTGTTACACTGTTTCTGACATATGTGCTTCTGATTTTTCCCTAGGTTCCTGTACACTGTGTAAATACAGGAGTGAAATATTTGCACCATAAAGCTCAAGAATTTGATGTTGGGGTTTATTTTGAAGCAAATGGCCATGGCACAGTGAGTAGCAATTTGAATGGAGAGCTATACTGGTCTGACTTGTTTTATTTAGGTGTTCATGAACATTTAAGAGTACCTGTTCTGTTGACTGAAGGCTTAATTTATTGAATGTAAAGTGTTGGTATGACATGTTCTGATAAACTTGTGCTGCTTTCCCTAAAATGATTATTGTATGTTGGTGGGAGTGAAAGGGTCATATACTTCCCTTCCAAAAAGAAATATTAAAGGCATTTAACAGAACTGTTCTAACACTTCTGTTCAGTAGCTGGTTAGATAAACATTAACTGCACCTAGGACCTGGATGCCTGACCATTCATTTGTCTGAGATAAGATTATGGCATAAGAAGGTGAAGTGAGAAAGGACACTTTATCAGTCCACAGTGGCGACATGAATATTAGTTTCCAAAGAGGGTCTTCAGACCTTTTGTCCTTCTTAATATAGTCAACTTGCTGTAACATAAAAAGTATTTACCATATTCTATTTAAAGTGCAAATAGAAATGGAATCTTTATTCCCAAAAAGCTTTGGGGTATCAGACTCCAGTGGAAGTTGAAAGAATGGTGAAAAAAATCTTAGATTAGGTGCCTTAGGCAAGATTTAGTGGGCCGTTCAAAAATAACAATGGAATGCTGCAGGAAGTTGCTTTTAAGCCATTTTTAGTTTAATTTCATTGTAATAATAGTTAAGGATGCTGTAATGATGTAAAAGTTGCAGTATTTCTTTGTTAGAAAAGTACCAAATTCAAAATCAATAGAAACCTGATAAACAGCCCAGTTTTTTTATTTCTTTGGTGACATAAATTAGTATTTTAAAATTTGGAGCTAAATTTACAGTCACTGTTTTTTACATTTTGGGGAGAAATTGAGAAGCACGAGCGGTGGGAAGGAGAACCCTCTGCTTGTCTGATGGGAATGTTGTGTTTAAAATTATATTAATAGCATTGAGAATACCATGTTAGCTGAATCTGAAAATGTCTACTTATTTTTCCCCTTTTAAGGTACTCTTCAGTAAAACTGCTGAAAATAAAATCAGACAGCTGGCTCAAGACAATAATCAACTAGTGGAGAGAATCAATGCAGCTAAGATGCTTGAAAATACAATTGACTTAATCAACCAGGTGAGTAAAATTTGTTAAGCATAGCATGACCTTTTATGTAGCTATTTGAAGTAGACATTTCCAATATGACTTGACAGGCTGTATACTGATAATTTGCTGAAGAGCTCAATTTGCTCAATGAGAAAGAGAAATCTGAACTGACTCTCATCAAACTGACTCTCTCATCTCCAGCATCTGTGTAAGTGACTGGCATTCACTTGATGCTATTTTACAATAGCATAGTGGGGAACTCAGAATGTGTTAGGTGTTGGTGAAACCAGCAGTACCTGGAGATTTTCATTTAATTATTAAACGGCTTAGTCCTATGAACAGTAAATATTGCTAACCATGTAATATAATTATAAAAAAGACATACCTGACTACTCGTAGCTTTATTTGCAATGGTCCACCAGGATTAAGTGGGCATATCCATCAGTCTACTGAGTGCATTTTTTGAGTTCTGATTCTGACTTCTAGACAGTGGGAGATGCCATATCAGACCTGCTAACAATAGAGGCCATCCTGTCTATTAAGGGCTTCACAATCCAGCAATGGGACTCAATTTACACAGACCTTCCTAACAGGCAACTAAAAGTGAAGGTGAGTCTGTTCTTTACATTATGTTAATATAACAGGTTGGAAGCTTTGAACATTTTAAGGGCAAGTGAAGGGAAAGAAGTTTAATTAGTGTCCATCATGGCCATTCTCATCTTTTGGTAATTGTGGGTTCACAAGCTGGAGTATTTAATTTAGACTGAACAAGGGCAATACTGAGGGAACTTTGCACTGCTGGAGGTCCTACCTCTGGGTTGAGAGATTAAATTCTGGCCCCCTCAGATGGTCATTTAAAACAAGGAGTTTGCCATGCACAAATTACCAGCAGCATTTTTTACTTCAGTAAAATAGGGAATTTGCTTGAAAAGTACTTAATTGACTGAAAAGTGCTTTTAGACAGCAGAAACTATATAAATGTAATGTTTTGTCTGGCTCTTTGATGGATTTATCTTTGGTGCCCTCCTGTTGTTCATCAATCATGCTGTCACTCAGTGACAACTTCAAACAAAGGTTTAGTTTCCACATCAGTGATGCTGACACCCTGCTCAACTTCATAACTTGACTGTTCCAATGTGTTTGATTTGTTTGACGTCCAATGCTAGATGAGCAGGAATCTCCTCAGGTATTGGGAAGAGTGATGCTATTGCTGTTGATCTTTGCCACAAGATCTGTTCTTAGCCATTGACTCCAATTTGAAGCCGTACCTGATATTCAGTCTTGGTGTCATATCTGATTCCATTATGATTTTTCCACTGTGTCTTTAACTGTATCCATACTATATCCATTTCTGTACCACTGCTCAACTCTGCCTTAGCTCATCTGCTGTTGAATCTGTCATCTCTGCCTTAGAAGCTTCTCATGGGAGGTCAGGAATCTGAAATGTTAACTCTGTTTCTCTTGCAGATGCTGTCTGACATGCTGAGTTTTCCAGCTCTTCGTTCTAATTTCAGATTTCCAGCATCTGCAATATTTTCCTTTTATATCCCTGCCGTAGTTAGCTGCATGCTTGAATATTCCATTTCATGCCTGGATGGCCTTTCATCTTCTGCCCTCCATAATCTTAAGGTTTTTCAAACTTCTACTGATTATGAGCAAACTCTCTCTAAATTCTGTCCATGCATCACCCTTGTGTTCACTATCCCATATTGCATCTTAGTTAAGTAATAACTTGATTTTAAAATTCTTTCCTTTTCTTTCAAATCCCTGTATGGCATTGCCCCTTCCTATCTTTGTAATCGCCTACAGCTCTCTGACAACTGCAGCAGCAATTCTGCACTATTGAGAACCCCATTTTAATATCTCTTCCATTGGTGGTTTTGACTTCAGCTGCCAAGACCCAATGTTGCAGAATTTCTTCCCTAAACCTCTCCACCTCATTTCTATTTCCTCCATTCAAGAGGTTTCTTAAAACCATCTTTTAAATCAATTTCCATAATATGGATGGATGGCTTGGTGTCACATTTTCTTCTTAAAGCTGCTGTGAAGCATTGAGGGAAATTTTACAACGTTCAAAATGCTATAAATACATCTTCTTTTTGCATGGACCCTTTTTTTTTGCCCAAAAGTAAATGACCTCATACTTACTCGGTTGAAATCCAGCTGCAGCTTTATCTACTTACTTAGCCAGCAATGTCTTTTTGCAGTTTTATACTTCGTCCTCACTACTTATTTTACTGCAATGTTTGTGTCATTTTCATTATGTGGCAGTTCTCTGTTGTGTTTCTAAGTGAGTAATTAATAAATATAATGAATATTTGAGGTCCCAGCTCAGATCATTGAGACACTAATAGTTAACATTTTTCTAATTTGAGTACTTACTTGTTCTTTCCGTTTGCCATTTAGTCAGTGCTTTAATTTTCCACTTATCACCTTTCATAAGGAAAATATTGTATGTTCTGTGGAGGTCTCCATGAATACAACTATGGATGTTAACAGGCCATGATATCTCATGCAAAAATACCTCTGACAATGCAGTGCTCTTTCACACTGTGTCATCCAAGATTGTGCTCAATACCTAATACACCCTGGGCATTGAGTCAGAAAATAGTGCCATCAAGGACCAAACTGATCAGTTTACTCTGCAACATATATCACACATTGATAGGTTAAGTCTGTGGGCAAGAAGTTGGCAAATGTGGGAAAATGTGATGTTCCATTTTGGAAGAGAGAACAAAAGTATAGTATTATTTAAATGGAGAAAAAAACTGAAGAAAGCTGCAACACAAAGGGTCCTGGGGATATTTGAGCATGAAACATGGGTGCAGCAGGTAATCAGGAAGGCTAATAGAATTTTGCCCCTTATTTCAAAGGAATTGAAGTATAACAGCAGGGAAGTATAACTACAACTGTACAAGGTGCTGGTGAGACCACACCTGTGGTGCTGTGAGCAGCTTTATTTCACTTACTTAAGGAATGATATTATTTCATTGGAGGCAGCTCAGAGAAGATTCTCTAGGATGATCCCTGGTATGGAGGAGTTATCTTATGACAAAGGGTAAACATGTTTGGAACTCTACTCATTGGAGTTTAGAGAATGAGAAGTGATTTCATTGAAACTTACAGGATTCTGAAAGAGCTTGACAGGGTAAATGCTGAGAGGATGTTCCGTCTCATGGGAGAGTCTAGGACCAGAGGGCATTGAGGTCAGATAGTGTCTCATTCTCAGAACTAAGGGGTGCCAATTTAAGACTGAGATAAGAAGGAATTTCTTTCTTTGAGGGTTGAGAGTCTTTGAATCTCCTTGTCACAGATAGTTGAGGGGGCAGAGTCCTTGTGCACATTTAAGGCTGAGACTGATAGATTTTTGATCCATAGGGGAATCAAGGGTTACGGGGGAAAGACAGGAAAGTGGTTGTGAGGACTGTTGGATCAGCAGTGATCCTATTGAATGGAAAGCTCAATGGCCAAACAGCCTTATCTTGTTCCTTTCTTGCACAGTCTTATATTGGTTTAATCAAGCTTCCAAATTAAGGATTGGCAATAAATGCTGGCCAACCAATGATGCCTACGCCCCCAAGTGAATAAAAAGAAAGTAGTCTGGCTAGAATTTTATAACAAGGTTGAGAGTTGATAACGGGAGTAGTAATTAATTTGATAATTATTAGTTCTTCAGTATAACAACTTTGTCAAATCTTAAAAGGTTTTTGGTCGTAAAATTAATGGAGCATTTTCTGCATGAGCTTAAGATGTGTGCTAAAGCGTTAAGTTCTGTGTTCCACAATTTCATGTGCTTCAGGCATTCCTTTTTCTATTCTGGTTTGTACTAGGTGTCTGATCGACAAATAATTGTCACCGTGGATGCTGGAAAGCGAGTAGTATCCCCTGCAGGGCTGCAGCAAAATATTGATGCTCTGGTGAAGAAATACAATTTGTCACGGGCTTTTGTACGTCCATCAGGCACAGAAGATGTGGTCCGCATTTATGCTGAAGCTGAAACCCAGGCAAGTATGGCATTGAAAATCAGTTGATTCACTGTAAAGCTGTATTACTCTAATGTTGTAAGTTCTAGGGATTTTGAGGAATTTTAATTATTTTAAATTAAATAACTAGGTTTTGAATTTTTAATTTAATACACTAGGGTTCTCAGTTATGTTTGACCTAACCAGGTATGAACAAAAAGTATTTATGAATCAGCAAGAATTTATTAAGCATATGTTATGCATGTCTATTTGTTACGAAAACTTAAGATGCAGTGAAGACAGCAAAGAAGATCCTTAGAGTGGCAATGTGGCTCGGTGGTTAGCAGTGCTGCCTCTCAGCCTGGTTAGGAGACTAAGACACTATCTGACCTCGATGATTAACCATAAATCATGTTTCTTGAAAATAAATCACTCAGCGAAAGCAAGAACTGCAGATGCTGGAGTCAGAGACAACACAGCAGGCCAGGCAGCATCAGAGGAAGAGGAAAGTTGACATTTCAGGTCAGGACCCTTCTTCAGAAACGTCAACTTTCCTCTTCCTCTGATGCTGCCTGGCCTGATGTGTTCCTCCAGCTCCATGCTGTGTTGTTTCTTGAAAATAAAACTGCAGCAGAAAATTTCATACAAATTTCACTTAATTCAAGAATCATTTAAGTTGTATCTTCTCAGATATACAAATTTAAAATTCAACACTTTGAAAATTCCCCTTATGCAACTAAACAATTTGCTTCAAACTGGTATCAAGTGTAACTTGCACCATTTCTAGCAAAATTTAAATTGGAACAAAGAGTATCACGTGTTTCAATTTTCAGTACAAGTTTGTAATTCTCCAAAAAATTAAAGTACACAGTTAGTCTGCCATGCAATGGAATTGTGCCCAAAGTGTTCCTTTAATTACGTGTTTTCTCTTCTGTGACTTCAACTATTTTTAATGCATGAGCATAGCAATTAGGAGCAGTTGTAGGCCATTTGACCTCAAAACCATACCACCATTTATAAGTTCTGAGGAAGGGTCACTGGACCCGAAACGTTAACTCTGTTTTCTCCTCCACAAATGCTGCCAGACCTGCTGAGCTTTTCTAGCAACTTTGTTTTTGTTTCCACCATTTATAAGATTATGCCTGATCGTAATGTGGCCTCAACTCTATTTCCTGCCTACCCCGTAGAACCTTTGAGTACCTTGTTACCATCTGTCTACCTCTGCCTTGGAAATATTCAATGACTATCTGGGGTACTGTAGTGGTGTAATTCCACAGATTCATAACCTTCCGTGAGGAAAAAAAAATCCATTTGACTCCGTCTTAAATGGAAGGTCCTGTAATTTTGAACAGTTCTAGACTTTCCCACAAAAGGAAGCCACCCCCTACCCTCTCCCTGTAACCTTGCATCTCCCATGGTATGATTTACCTAGCCTGCACATCCCTGGACACTATGGGCAATTAAGCATGGCCAATCCACCTAACCTGCACATCTGTGGACTGTGGGAGAAAATCCACACAGACACAGGGAGAATGTGCAAACTCCACACAGGCTGTCACTAGAGGGTGGAATCGAACTCAGGTTCCTTGCACTGAGGTAGCAGTGCTAACCACTGAGCCACCGTGCTGCCCCAAGATTTCTCCTCATTCTTAATTCCAATGGATACAGGTGCAACCTGCCTTTCTTTCATCAGATAACTCCTTCATAACAGAAGTCAGTCAAGTTTTTCTCTGCACTACGTTTAATACAAATGCTATTATAGTCCATTCTTAAATAAGGCAATCAAAACTGTACACAGTACTCTAATTATTTTTGAACAAAGTAAAGATCCTGTTTACATGTGATCTACAAGAGTGGTGTGTGCAGGTTATTTGTGGACTATTTCACAATCCAGAGAGCATTTTGTGAGATTCTTTTGGTGTATCTGCAGAAATAACATGCACCATTTACAAAGTAATTACATCCAAGCACAATCAGTGTGGATCTCTTGTTGCTACCTATACTTCAAATCAGAGAGCTGTACAGCGTGGAAACAGACCCTTCGGTCCAACTCATCCATGTCGACCAGATATCCTGAATAAATCTAGTCCCATTTGGCCCCATATCCCTCTCAACCCTTCCTATTCATATACCCATCCAGATGCCTTTTAAATGTTGCAGTTGTACCAGGCTCCACCACTTCCTCTGGCAGCTCATTCCATACAAGCACCACCCTCTGCATGAAAAAGTTGCTCCTTAGGTCCCTTTTAAATATTTCCCCCTCAACTTATACTATGCCCTCTAGTTTTGGACTCCCCCAGCCCAGGGAAAAGAGCTTGTCTATTCACCCTATCCATGCCCCTCGTGATTTAAAAGCCTCTATAGAGTCAGCTCTCAGCTTCCAATGCTCCAGGGAAAATAGCTCCAGCCTATTCAGCCTCTCCCTATAGCTCAAGCCCTCTAACCCTGGCAACATCCTTGTAAATCTTAGATAAGCCCAAAGAAAATCTCAGTGCATTCAGTCACAGTGTTATACATAGTGCACTGAATTGATCGGCTATTTGATATCTGACAGATTATAAATAGAATAATTCATGTTTACAGTTTGTAAAGTGCAGTTTGTTTATTTTGCAGAGTAATGCAGACACTCTTGCACATGAAGTGAGCCTTGTCGTGTACAAATTGGCTGGAGGAGTAGGAGAGGAACCAAAGTTGTTGCATTGAAGAAAACAAGATAATTGGTGAATGTGTCGACGTGCACTCCTTGGGCTATACTTTATATTAAGACTACAAGGAGACACTGGCTGGGGAAGTGGGGAGGTGGAGGTGGGGGTGGGGGTGTTCAGTAACTGGAATTTGTGATCCTTTGAAGGTTAAAATACATATTTTGCATGTTTATTCCACAATCAAGTAGTAATGGTGCTTTCGTGAGAACTGCTGATTATAAAATTTCATATTGAATAGTTGGAATTCTTTGTTTTGACCTGGATCTGAATACAACTAATAAAAAAAATACTAGAGCAGGAACATCTGTTTACGATATGTAATATTTTATGGATTGAATAATGTCATAAGCCAAACTTCATGTAGTCTTGCAGGATAGCAGCATTCTTGCTTGAGATTTCCTTCTTTTCCTGGCTTGGAAAAATCTAGGGTGGTAGGAATGTGGTTCCCCACATTCTCCAAAAATGTTGCTATCACTTGTGTCCATGTATTAGTAGATATAAGTCCTACTGCAGAACTGAGGTTCCAAACTGATTGTTGAATGGAGGATTGGAGAAGTGCTGCACTATTGGACATGTCAACATAAGATATTAAACCAAGACTCCTCCTCCTCCCTCACATGGATGTAAAAGATCCCTCGCACTATTTGTAAAAAAAGGGAGTAATCCAGGATTCCTGAAGATAATGGAAAACCTGGAAACATTTTGGAAATTTAAAAGGACAGATGAAACTTTTCTGACTTTGCGCATCCAGTGACTTCCATATTTGTTTGCTTTACTTCACATTTTTTTTTGATCTTCTGCCTGTTGCCACTAGCTGTTTTTTGAGTTTCAGAACATCAGTCATTGACCAGGTACACTGTGGCCAAAAGAAATCTGGCCATCATTGGTGCGGTTTTTGGAATCTTGCTGTATGTAAATTAACTACATTGCAATAATGACAACAATCAAAATATTTTGATTGTCCACTGCTTGTGAAAGGCACTGTGTAAATGCAAATGCCACCACCAGGTGGCATAAAAGTGAAGTGTGCTCCGTCATGACCTGTCGTCACGAAAGCGGGACTCTGTTGCCAGCTGTATTTGGGAGCCTACTCTGAATCTGAGTAAGCCTCCACTCCCCTGGGTGAGCAGTTGAGGGCAGAGGACCCTCCTTGTGATGTCCTCAGCCTGTCCTGTCTGTTACAACATGGAGTCAGCCAGCCAAATCAAATCAGTGTCCCCTGTCCCTCTAGTTGCAACATGGTGAAATTAAAATACTGAATGACCCTCAAAATCGATTTCCAACCAGACTTTCTGAAAGACCAACACCAGACACCAGGTTTATAGCTTAAACTAAAGATTTAACAATTTATTGATAAATTTAGCAGAGCAAAGTTAATTAAATGTATGATTTATACCCAGTTGTCTTTGATTCTATCTCCCCATTCTCTCAGCTCACATGTTACAGTCAAATCAAAAAGTTCTAAGACTAAAAAAAAAATGAGCTGAGATAGAATGTCAGAGTTGTACCAAAATAAGCCATTTAGACCCTATAGAATAATCCAATTAGTGCCATTTCCCCAACTTTATCCCTTTTTTTGTTTTTTTTTCTTATATCCAGAAGTGGAATTTTTTTTCAAACCCATCACCGAATCATTGTGACAATTTACACCTTCATCTACTAATCCCACCAGTAAATCACCTATACATGCAAAGCCTGTGTATTTGCCCATAACCAATATTCACACAATCCACAGACTCCACAGCTCTGTGAAATAAACAGTTGGACTGGGAGTGTGTCAAATGCCACAATCTGAAATTGCACAAGTCTGCTGTGTGTAACACTCTCACCCCAGGTCCCCAGTCGAAATTCAGAGAACTCCAGGTGTACAAAATGATCAGAGGTATAGATAGAGTGGACAGCCAGAGATTTTTTCCTAGGGTGGAGGTAGCTATTACAAGGGGACATAGTTTTAAAGTGAGTGGAGGTAGATATAGTGGAGACGTCAGAGGTAGGTTCTTTACTCAGAGAGTGGTTGGGGCATGGAATACATTGCAGAGAGGGTAGTGGAGTCAGCCTCATTAGGGGCATTTAAGCGGCTATTACATAGGCATATGGATGATAGTATAAGTTACGGGTGGAGTTTAGATAGACCTTAGGATTAGGGTACAAGTTCGGCACAACATCGTGGGCCGAAGGGCCTGTACTGTGCTATGTTTTATGTTCCAATATAGAGAGCCATCCACTGGGAATTCTCACATTGTGTGGTAAATAAGAACGGGTTGCAGATGAAGGTGTCAAACTGGATGTTGTGCAGCAGCAGTTTGTGCAAAATGTGCTTTTTTATGAGACAGAAGAACGTGGAGGGCATTCCTGAGAGACCACTCAGGTTGTGGTGCATGGGCTCCTGAGGGAGGGTCAGGACCCTAGGGGGAATGTGAAATTCCATTTGACCAGGGGTATGCAAAGACAGGATCCCAGCACACACCCAACCATCCTCCAACTGGTGCATAACATCAGGGTCTGAGCACCACCATTTATAGGCAATGAATGGCACCAGTTGCAAGTTGGATGTCCACCATTACCATTTGCCAATTCCTGCGGTAACATCCAGTCCAGGCCTCCACTGCCCACATGAACCTTTGATGATGGAAGTGCAGATCCTGACAGCAGGAAACCCCGGCACGACCCAACTATATTCCAGACAAAAGACAGGGAGACAAAGACTCTCATGATCTACGAGCAGGAGATTGTGCACCCAGCAGAAGAAATCTGTTGCTAAGTGGCATCGGCTGGGGGGAAACTTGACATAAAGATATTGCTGCAGGGTCTGAAGACAGAACGTCACCACCTGGACGCACAGACACACCAGCGAGACTGACTGCCCTCTTCAGTGGGGAGACTGAGAACCTCTGCCGCGATGCAGTGCATCATATTGGCCCAGAAGAACTTCTTTTGGACTTTGGTGGCAAAACCAGGGAGAAGAGTCAAAGAGGCCAGCTGGTACCAGAGCACAGAGGCCACCAGCTGGTTTATGACCAGCACTTGATCCCTGTAAGATAGTACAGTCCAGCGGCCTAAGCAGAGACTTCGGCCATCCCAGGTGCACTGAGTTGCCCATGCAGACCAGAAGATCAGTTCAAAATTGTTCCAGTGATCCAAAGCCAACTGTCGTGATGACCGAAGTGCTTGTCAAAAAATGCCTGGAGTTAGTCAGGGGGGCACTAGGGGATCCATAATCTGATTGAAGATAAACACGACATCATTCCCAGCGTCCACCACTGAGCCGCATTTGCTTCTTCTGGGCAATCGTCTTGGCTACTGACCCTGCCCCCAGTGAGAGAGTAGGTAGTGGTCCAGTGCAACCAGCCAGCTCCATTCCCCCAGTGTCACCACTCCCAGGATCACTTGGCAGAGGGTCCCTCAGTGAACTCTGTCAGGGCAGGTTCTGGGGCATTGGTTGGCAGAGACTTGGGGCCCTGCACCCCCCTTGACATTCAGCCTCTCAGGAAAAAGGTCCTCTCTGAAGACTTAGGCACTTGGTAAAAAACTAGGAGGGAGACAAAAAAACACCTCCCTGTGTGGTCACCATACTTGCATTGCAGCACTCGCAAATTCTAGTTTGTCGTTGGGATGGATGGTTGCTCAGCAGTGGGAGTACAAGCCGCAACCCGTGGCACTGGAGCTGCTAGGCTGTGACACAGGACCTGGCTCTTGTGACCGGGCAGGTTGGGGGCGGGGGTCAGGCTAGAAAGCTAGAATGTCATAGAAAGCTTTAGAGAAAGTTTTGATGAGATTGTACTTGGTCTTGTATGCCATAGAGAGTTTAAAAATTGTTAGGTTTTCCACTCCTACCTTATTTACCATTGTCTGTCAAAGGAATTGCTTCTGGAAATTGGATTATCATATCAGATTTGTAAGGATGTACTTGATGTCCTGCTTCCTTTCCAGTAGTGGTCCTACACAGATTACTAACAGACAACTGAATATTTTTCAAAGACTGGTAATAGGTATTAAAGGCATACTGTCAATGGGATCTGAAACGTTAACTCTGCTTCCTGTCCACAGATGCTACTAGACTTGCAAGGTTCCCCAGTAATTCCTTCAGACCTTTCAGCATCCCCCACACCTTGTCCTTAGTGATAGCCATTACACTTAGCTCTGCCCCCTGACTCTCATGAAGTTTTGGTATGCTGCTGCTGTCTTCCACTGGGCAAACTGATGCAAAATACCTATTAAGTCCTCCGCCAACCTAGGGGTTCCTTCACCTTAAGCTCCCTAATCAAATCTGCTTCATTAGAATATCATCAAATCCAGAATTGCCTGTTCTCCAGTGGGCTCTACAAGCTGCTCCAGAAAAAACTCATAGACATTCCACATATTTCTTTTTTTGAGATCCGCTACCAACTTGGGTTTCCCAGTCCGCCTACGTATTGAAGTCTGTGCTTATATCTTAGGTCTGCCATTTTCTCCACAGTTGATGCAGTTTATGTCTGCTTTGCCCACAGCACAGCATTACACTTCCAGAAGATGCAAGGAAAGGAATTCTAGGAATCTATTCTACCTGGAGGAAGGCATTGCAGTTTCTGGTGCCATTTTATTTTTTGTAGTAACAAACTTGGTGTTTTCTTTAATCTCTTTATCTTTTACCAACTCCACACACAATTTTACATTATCTTTGTTCCAACAATTTCAGCTACGAGCTCCCAAACATCACGATTCACTGCAGTAGACCCTTGGAAATCCAGCCCCACTACTCCTGCAGTCATCACAAACATGAAAAAGTTTATCTGTTGAAAATCCCTGATTTTTTTCTGACTGATCAACTCAGGACAAAACACTCACTAGGTTTTTCTACTTAAGAAGAAATTAACTTTATTACAATTTGTCCTTAAACAAAGACAAAATGAATTGCTAATTTATAATTCTCTGTGACAGACTCGATACCTCTTAAATTCCACCAACCCCAATGCCCATTTACAAACAGATGCACAAAGACAGAAAAGACATGGATATTAAGGGTGGAAGAGGGGGGAAAAAAAGAGTATCAAGGAACCAGGTCAATAGCATCAGTCTGGATCCAGAAGATGAGCTGTTTTAGAACATAGTACAGCTCGGCACAGGAGTGATGTTGTGCTGAACAAGATGCCAAATTAAACCAATCCCTTCTGCCTGCCCTTGGCCCATATCCGTCCATTCCTTGCATATTCATGCACTTAGCTAAAATCCCCTTAAATGCCCCTAATGTATCAGCTTTCACCACTACTCTGGCAGCTTGTTCCAGACTCCTATCACTGTGTAAAAATACTTGCCCCTCACATC